CCATCCTCCTCCTCCCCCCCCCCCCCCCCTCTCCCCCCCCCCCCCCCCTCCCGCCTCCTTCCTTCTCCCTCTCCCCTCCTCACCCCTCCTCCTCCTCCTGCCTCTCCCCTTTCCTCCCTCCTTTTCCTGCCCCCTCTCTCCTCCCTCTCTTTACCCTATCTTTCCCTCCTCTTACTTCTGCTTTCTTCCCCCCCTCCCCTCTCTCCCCTTCCTCCAGCTTCCTCCGTTCCATCTTCCCTTCCTTTTCTTTCCTCCTTCCGCCCCCCCCCCCCCCCCCCCCATCCTTTCTCCTCCATCTTCTCCTTTCTTTTTCTTTTGTTTTTTCCTTCTCCTCTTGCCCCTCAACTTCTCCTCCTCGTCCTCCTCCTCCCCCCTCCTCCCCCCCGCCCCCTCCCTCCCCTCCCTTTTTTTATCCTCTCCTTCTCCTCTTCCCATCGTTCTCCTCCCTCCTCCTCCTCCTCCTCCTCCTCCTCTTCCTCTCCTCCTCCTCCTCTTCTTCCTCTCCTCATCCTCCTCCTCGCCCCTCCTCCTCCTCCTCCTCCTTCCTCCTTTTCGCTCCTCCTCCTCCTCCTCCTCCTCCTCCTCCTCCTCCTCCTCCTCCTCTTCCTCTCCGCACTCCCTCCTCCTCCTCCTCCTCCTCCTCCTCGCTCTCCTCCTCCTCCTCCTCCTCCCCCTCCTCCTTCTCCTCCTCTTCTTCCTCTTCTCCTCCTCCTCCTTCTCCTCCTCCTCCTTGTCCTCCTACTCCAGGGCGGGGGTTCTCACCCGGCGAACCGAAGAGGACGCTCGCGCGCGGTATCCCGCTTCCGACGATTTGACGGAGGGACAGCCCTTCTCGCAGAGGAGGGAGCGGTCTTCGGAAAGTCTTGAGAGTTTGCTATGTGCTGGGCAGCCTGAAGTCGGGCATGTCCCTCCGCAGGAGGAACATTCAAAAAGGGTCAAAACAGAGTCTGGGGACTATTTTCGACGATGTCTGACTATTCTTGAATATGTGTGGACTGTTTCAATAAATTTTTCTTCCGAAATCCGCCTGAAGGAGGACATGCCCGACCTAAGGGTAGCCAACTGCCCGGTGAGCGCGCGGCGAAGACGAAGCCTGCGCAGCGCCGAGGCGGCGGGCGAGAGCAGCGTCTCGCTCGCTCTCGCGCGGCCCCGCTGCCGGGTCGCCGCGTTCCGCGATTCGACGAGCGAAGCGTGCGCCGTGCCCACGCGGGAGGCATTTCGTCCGCTCGCGCGTCGACGACTTGGCGCGCGAGGACTGCGCCCTGTCTCGCGGAAGGTGCGCCCCGTCCCACTCTTGCCGCGCATGTTGCCACGTGGGCGCCAAAACGTCCACCTGAGAGCAAAAACGTCGACTTGTTGCACGGGTTTGTTAACAGGTACGATGGGACAGCCCGGATGGGGTTGTTACGGGTTGGCTAGATGGCAAACAGGCATATTTAGATAGATATATCGTTATATATATACACGCATAAATATGTATGTTTTTATATATAGATAGATTGATTGATATATAGATAAATAGATAGATATATAGATAGATAGATATATAGATAGGTAGATCGATATGTAGATATACCTATATATATACATACATATATATACATATAGGTATATATATGTAGATATATATATATGTAGAAAAAGAAATGATTATATATATATATATATATATATATATATGTAGAGATGCATCGATATATGTATATATATATATATGTATATCCGTAAGGGCTTCGCCCCCTGCCGCCGGCCCCCTCTCTCGGAGAATGGGCCATGGAAGAGCTAAGTCATGAGGCCTTGGCGCTGTCGTGAAGCAGTATCGAAACTTCATGCTAAGCCGATTCGCAATCAGCAAAACCAACTGATCACAAGAGGGGTTACCACACCTGGCGATTGGTAAGACGTGTATGGTTTACGGGCTTGGTTACCACACCTTGCGATTAAAGGGCCGAGGGAGTTCTCGCAGTTCGGGTTACCACGCCTTGCGATGGATGTGCGTGAAGGGTGGCACCGAATTTCAGAAATGTGGCCAATCCCTTGTGTTTTTGGACCCTGACCCCGCGGATCTGCGTGAGGGGTGGCGCCGAATTTCAGAAATGTGGCAAATCCCTTGTGTTTTTGGACCCTGACCCCGCGGATCTGCGTGAGGGGTGGCACCGAATTTCAGAAATGTGGCAAATCCCCAGTGTTTTTAGACCCTGACCCCGCGGATCTGAGTGAGGGGTGGCACCGAATTTCAGAAATGTAGCAAATCCCTTATGTTTTTGGACCCTGACCCCGCGGATCTGCATGAGGGGTGGCACCGAATTTCAGAAATGTGGCAAATCCCATGTGTTTTTGGACCCTGACCCCGCGGATCTGCGTGAGGGGTGGCACCGAATTTCAGAAATGTGGCAAATCCCATGTGTTTTTGGACCCTGACCCCGCGGATCTGCGTGAGGGTGTCGATTTCGAGCCCCCCCAGTAATTCAGACAACGCGCCGCGCGCCCAGGGGGTTGCTAAGAGCGCTGCGCCACGCGTGCCCTTCCCCCCTCGCGCTGTCAATCAACTAGTTACATTAACGGCAGCAATACAATCAACTAGTTAACAGTAACCAGCAAGGAGCAGAACTGTAACCACTGAAACTACACCTACGACTGGTACTACAAACTGCGAATCACGGGCCTACAGCCTGGTGGCCCCACAAGGGGTGGCCGGCGATATATAATATATATAGATTAAAAATATATATATATATATATATATATATATATATATGTAGGTATATATATAGAGAGAGATAGATAGATAGACAGATAGATAGATAGATAGATAGATAGATAGATATATAGATAGATAGATAGATAGATAGATAGATAGATAGATAGATAGATATATAGATCGATAGCTATATTGATATGCGTGCATGTATGCACGCATGCATACATACATTTACACGAATCAGGAGTGAGGATAGGGGATGAAGAGGAGGAGGAGGAGGAGGAGGAAGAGGAAGAGGAGAGGTGGGGGAGGAGGAGAGTAGGAGGAGAAGGAAGGGGAGAATGAGGACGAGGAGGAGGAAGAGGAAGAGAGATTAGGAGGAGGAAGAGGAAGAGGAGGAGGAGAAGGAGGAGAAGGACGAAGGTCTGGAGGTAGTGTGATGAAAGGCTGTCCACGATTCGATCGACTCGAAAATGCGCGCCGACGTCATGCGGGTGGCATCGATCGGTTCGACTATCCGCTCCCCAGGCTGGCCGCCCTCCTCCTCCTTTGCGGACTAGGCATCCATTCGACCATCTCGGTCGCGCAAGCGGTCTGATTGGTCTGCGATCACCTCAGGGCAGCCTTTGGACAAGGAGGGCCTCGGGCATCGTGCACTATAGCACCACCGCAGCTTTCGACAGCGTACTTGCGGCACGCGCCCTCTGCCTCTCCGGCTGGATCGACCCGCGATGGCCCCCTGGGCTCGAGGCGGGGCGAGATGTGAACTTGTCCGCGAGGGCGGGGCGGGAAGACAGGCGGCGGCGGACTGGCAAGGCCTAAGGCCCTGGGGGCTGACGACGGCGGCGCGCCGTCGCTCGGCGGCGGCGGCTCCGTGGCCGCCAGCGCTCGCGGCGAGCGGCGGCGGCCGCGGCAGCGCTCGCGCCGGGGCGCGTGGCGGCGGTCACGCCGGCGCCGCCGCCGCGCGCGCCGCGAGCGCGAGCGGAGGAGCGCAGCCGTGGCCGCCGACGCTCGTGGCGAGCGGCGGCGGCGGCCGCGGCAGCGCTCGCGCCCGTCGCGGGGCGCTGGACCAAGGGCGCCCTCGAGGGCGCGAAGTTATGCGCGCTTCGCGGTTCGGCTCCGATTCCTCCGCATCCTCCTCTTCTCCCCTGGGAGGCGGCGCGAGGGCGCGAAGTTATCCGCGCAGCGCGAAGCGCGAAGGTGGGAGCCCTTCGTGAACCTCGCCGCCCAGGCCCGCCCCTCTGGGCAGGCCTGGCGCCGCCGCCACGCCCAGCGGGGAGTGGAGCGTCCCAGGACCGTGTGCACCAGACCCATACCATGCCAGACCCAGGCCTCCTCGCGACGGGAGGCTTTTCATGAGTTTCAGCCTCCGGGGCCCCTTCCCAGGCCTCGGGACCGTCAAGGAACGACTCGGGACGAAAAACCGGTCCCGGGGAAGGGGTCCAGACCTCTGGGACTCGACGCTGCGAAAAAATCACGACGTCGGGAGTTTGGGTATCTTGCTCCCAGAGCGACTGCCCCCATGCGAGTGATGATGTTGATCCCCGATGGGTGGATCCCGTATCTCCACGCCTCGCGATCTGGGCCGGCCGCGCGCGTCTCTTCGCCCGACCTTTCTCCTCCGCACCGCTGCACGCGTGGCCGCGGCACCAATGTGAGCCGTCGTGGCCGCGACGCCACGTGTCCACGATCTCGTGGCTGCCTCGTGAACGTGAGCCTGCACCCAGACAGATCCTGAAGGTCTACACGATCATACAGGTTTCTTCTTCCGTCCCGCGGCCTTCCTTTCTTGTGCTCCTCGCCCGCCTGCGCCCACGCGCCTTGCTTCGCAACGGGTGCGCTCCGCCGTCTGGTTGACCGCTTGTTGGGCCCAGCTCACCGCATACCAAATCTGTGTGTACCCTATCTGTCCTCCCCCTCCTTGACCTACAGCTATCTCAGCTCAGGCGTTGATGTGCTGGGGTAAGGACCTCTGTCTCTTTGGATAAAAAGCTTCGCGTCGTCATCAACGTCTTACGGATCCCAGGGCGGGATGGGTTCTCTGACCCTTCACCCCCCCTCCTCCTCCTCCTCCTCCTCCTCCTCCTCCTCCTCCTCCTCCTCCTCCTCCTCCTCCTCCTCCTCCCTCCTCCTCCTCTCCTCTCCTCCTCCTCCTCCTCCTCCTCCTCCTTCCTCCTCCTCCCCCCTCCTCCTCCTCCCCCTCCTCCTTTTACCCTCCTCCTGTTGTTGCTTCCCCCTCCCTGTCCTCATGTTCCTTCTCGCCGTCCTCCTCCCTCCCCCCGCCGCCGCCGCCGCCGAGTCCCCAGACGGCCTCGCGGCCGACGCGGTGCGCCCCGACGAGACCGCGTGGGACGCGCGGGGTTTCGCCTGGTGCGGGGGAGGGGGTACGAGGGGATCCGCACCCACCCCCTCGAGGGGAGGGGATTCGAGCCGCCCCCCCCCGCCCCTTGAATTGCACGGGGGGGGGGGGGGGGGGAGGTTGGAGGCGGAGGGGTTCGAATCCAGCCCTTTTGAAGGGGCGGGGGGGTGCGCGCGGGGTCGGGTCGAAGATCGAGGTTTTTGCGCGTTGGTTGGCTACCCTGGGTTGCCGCCTCCGGGAGCCTTATCGCCGCACGGCGGGGTTTCCGTTGAGATGTTTGGCACGAGGGGTCCTGGGTCGGCGCTTGGTTTTGAGGAGGAGCGCGGAGTTGGAGGAGGAGGAGGAGGAGGAGGAGGAGGAGGAGGAGGAGGTTTCTGTTGAGATGTTTGGCACGAGGGGTCCTCGGTCGGCGCTTGGTTTTGAGGAGGAGGAGGAGGAGGAGGAGCGCGGAGGAGGAGGAGGAGGAGGAGGAGGAGGAGGAGGAGGAGGAGGAAGCGGTCGATGAGGGGTCCTCTCTTCCCCATCACCCGCAGGGCCGCCGAGCGAAGGTATCGCGGCGACGGGACGTCGGAGTCACGTCTGGCATCCCCCGTCCACCCCGCCCCGCTCTTCCTGTCACCGCGGAGGAGGACGAGTAAAATGACCACAGTTGGCCTAGGATGCATCAACGATTCTGCAGCACACCCTCCCGCCCCACGTCACCCCCCACGGCTCCCCACAATCATGTGTTTGGGTTGCGAGAAGCGCCCCCTAGACATACGTGCGCCCAATGGGTTTGCCATTCAGGTGATAGCCTGCTTTGGGAAAATATCCGCCCTCCAGGCTCCGAGCAAAAAAGGCAGGATCATGAGTTCAGAGTAAACTACGTTTTGAAGACAAGTGGCGCTCCATCCGTGCAAATGTCGCACGGTGCTCAAATCTGCGATCATAAAGCTGAGGCATCGAACCAGAGCCCAGCTTTCCAAAGGACCCGCCCGACGTTCACGTGGCTGCTGGAGGCGTCGATACCAAATGCACGCGGCGCACGGCCGCCATCTGCTCAGCTGCTGGCAACATGTGGATGTTTGAAGGACCATGTTAAAAGCATCCCGCCCTCATTGAGCGTAGTTGGTCGAAGTCGGCGAATTCGCGCATCGCCAGTTGCACACCTGTACGCACATGTGTGCATTATTTTGAGGGGGAGAGAGAGAGAGAGACATGTATATATATATATATATATGTATATATATATACACATACATATAGATATAAAGACATGATTTCAACATCGCCCGCCCTTCGTCTGAGCGGTGTTTGGACGCTTCAAACTGCAGCGTCACAGAGAGCGGAGCCTCCGGCAGACCGCCCGGGCAGCCCTCACAGACACGCCGGGTGGTGCGGCGAGGAGGGACTCCTGTCACGGTCGGGAACTTCTGGTCGGCGTGTCGCCCCACCGGCTCTGGCCCACCGCGCTCCGGCGCGGCACTGCCCACTCCGCGGCCCCCAGGGCGGCCACGCGCCGAGGTTTGTCCCAGCCTCCCGCCCCGCGGAGCGGAGCGACACGCCATCCGCCTGCGAGTCACAGCGTGTCGCCGGGGCCGCCGCCGCGACACGCTAGGCGACAGTTCCCGACCGTGTCTGGTTGCTTGTGGCAGATGCCGCCACCGTGACAGCACAGAAGCAGGCCAGCAAGAAGAAGGTCGAGTGTAAGACCCGCTCCAGTTCAGCGCCTGGTTTGAGCTGGCGCACATCGTTGTCCACCGTCTGTTTCTTTTCTTTCCTCCTCCCTGGTGTTCGCTCTTCTTTTTGAAGATGGTGTCGAGGTGAGTGCCTTGGACTCCCTTTGGCATCAGCACCGCCGATCCCTTGGGGTGATGGATGCTTCGCTTCGGGGGTGAGTATTCGCAGCGGCAGTTTGGCGGAGTGCGCCTGGGACACGTTTGACACTTCAGGGGAGGCTCCCCATACGCAACACCATGTGCGAGGATGCTGAAAAGGACGAGGCGCCATTGGAGGCTTCTGGGGGGGGCATCTGCCAGGCAGGCCGCCAGGCCTCTCAGCAGTGGGCTCTCCGAGATCCGTGGGTGCACGTTCCGAGTGTCGGGGGCATCGTCTGTGTGTGTGCGTGTGTGCGTGTGTGCGTGTGTGCGTGGGTGTGCGTGGGTGTGCGTGTGCGTGGGTGTGTGTGTGTGTGGTGCGTGTGTGGTGTGTGTGGTGTGTGTGGTGTGTGTGTGTGTGTTGTGTGTGTTGTGTGTGTTGTGTGTGTTGTGTGTGTTGTGTGTGTTGTGTGTGTTGTGTGTGTTGTGTGTTGTGTGTGTTGTGTGTGTTGTGTGTGTTGTGTGTGTGTTGTGTGTGTTGTGT